GCAGGGGTTTACAGGAGCCCCCCCCCAAAACAAACAACCAAAGGTGATCACCGACTGTCTGGCCGTAGTCGGGTCCATCCTCGGCGAGAAGCCCCAGATGATGGCGGCCCTGTCCAGGAACGCCGACGCAAGGGAGTTCGTCGTGGGCACCCTCACCCGTAACCCGGAGCCCCGCGTGAGGAGGCAGATGGGTCAGCTGCTGCTGGGGGCGAGGCCGATGGCCGGGGTCCTGCTAAGCTGGCTCACCGGAGAGCTAGAGGTGCAGAAGGGAGATGACGATGATGCCGTGCTGGTTTTGTTTCAGGATGGACACATGGCCGTTTGTGGGCTAACTCTCGCCGTATGTTTGTGTCATGATATGTGCTTCACTTCAAAGCATCTGTTTCTAGGTGGAAGAGGAAAGGGGGGCAGCTTTTGAGGTGCTCCATGTCGTGTGTCTGGCATCGGTTGGTTGGGCGGGAGGGGGGGGGGGGGGGCACAGAGCGGGGCCGGTTTGTTTTTTCTTGGCCGGGCACGTGGTGTCAGGAGAGTTGGGGTCGGTCTCGAATATGTCGTGTCTTGGCCGGACATAAGCCGTATACCAAGTACGGTGTTTTGATTTGTGTCTCCCGTTACCCACTCCCGCCGCCGCTAATGCTTCAATTGTCCTTGAACCCTCGCCTCTGCGTGGACTGCGTGGAGCCCCCCCCCCCCTCACACGCCAACCTGACGATGCTAACCGCGAACTACTACTGCTGTTGGTATCGGCAGGACCTCCCTCTCGGCCACACGGATTGCGACGAGTTCTTCACCTGCTGTCGTGACCTGGTCTTCGAGAACCTCCGCCCGCGCAGAGTGGCTTCCTTGCCGCCCGCCTCCAAGGCAGACTTGGAGGTGCCGGTGGTGGTGCCGGAGGGTGCGGGTGCTGCAACAGGTGATGTGTAGGACGATTAAATATTTCACGTGGATATCTTGCGTCTACGTAGATGCTGGACCGAGAGACGTTTGCCCACGAGTGTAGCCTTCGGCGAGGAGAGAAAGGGGGGGTACACGTGTGTGTGGTCAGGTGTCGTCGGTTCCGTCCCCCTCCCCCTCCCCCCGCGCGTGTTTTTCAACCATGGTTTGCATACTGAGGTACTGATAGCGAGTTGGCCCACCGCTTTGCCCCACCCCTCTCTTTCGCGTCGAAACAGGCACTGCTGCCACCGCGGGCGGTCCAGAGGCGGGTAGCAGCGCCAACACCACTAGTGCTACTGCCCCGCCGACGGTGACTCTTCCGACCGCCGCCGCCGGCAGCGGCAGCGGTAGCGGTGGCGGTGGCGGCAAGGCGGAGCTCGACCTGGGAGCGCTGGGGCGGGCGCTGTCGGCGAAGATGGTGTCGATGCCGCGCGACGGGCACGGATCTTGCAAGGCGGTGCTGCAGGGCTGCCTGGAGCTGCTGAGGGACCTGGTGGAGATCGAGGGGCCCGACGGGACCTTCCTGAAGGGGGCGGAACTCGGGCAGGTGAGTTTGTTGTTGTTTCTTTTTTTTGCTTTTTTGTCTCGTCTTTTTTCAGTGTTCATTTTTCTTTTCGGTTTGTGTGCGTGGTTTTGAGGTTTGTTAGGTGTTGTATAATTGTGGGTTGGCGATCCTGGTTATTGTCTTTCCTTTTTTTCATTTCCGCCGGCCGGAGAAAGAGAGGCAATAAATACTCCAGTCAATTCGCTTACTCCTTTCCCCCTTTCCTTCCCTCTCCTTCCCCCTCTTCCCGGGCATTTCATCCGCGTCAATGGCCCCCTCCCTCCCTATACGCCAGGACTTTGTTGGGAAAATATTTAAGGGTTTCCTGTTCACGATGCCGGAGCAGAGGGGACGGGGGATGCGGGTGGAGCGTCCGGTATGCGCGGACCCTGCGACAAGGCGTGCCGCTCTCAACGCCCTTGCCTCGGCGGCCAGGAAGAGCCCGAAGGCCATGTCCGCGCTGTTGGACAACGTGAGGACACGCGTTGGACAAGAGGGGGGAGGGTGTACTCATGTAGACGCATGGCGAAGTCGTTAGACCGTTGACCTCGCTTTCCAGGACGGAGCGAGATGCCGAGTTTTCGCTGACTCAGGCTAAGTTTCACGAGGATGGACCAGAAGCTGGTCATCATCCTTGCGCGTTTTCTGTTGGAGAAGAGGGTGGGGGGGGTACGCGTTTGTTTGGTGAGGCCGGTAGTTGATCGTTGACCTCGCATGGGCACTTGCCGGAGGCATTTGAGTAGGTTGGCTGATGCTTTATGTTGGCTGTTTGTTTGTTCACGGTCATGCACATGAGTGAACGGGGACGAGCGAGTTGTGTTCGTGTGTTGTCAATTTAAGGGTTCCTCCTACAAGTTGCCGTTTCCAGCACTTTGGCAAACATGGTTTGTTGTGCTTTGTACCGTGCTTTTGCCAACAACCCTCCGTCCCCCCGGGGTTCCGTTTCCACGCCGCCCGGGCCCGCCTTGGGGCCTTTTTTTTGTGTTTTTTTTTAGGACGTGTCCCCGGACGGCCCCTTTGTTTGCCCCCCCCCCCCCAAAAAAAAAAAAAGGTGGACGTGTTTGTCGGGAGAGTGTTACCGTCTTTGCGGCATAGGTGGGGTTACGAGTGCAGCTTCGACGCCAAGAGGCCCCAGAGCGGCGGTTTCGTGGGGCTCAAGAACCAGGGCTGCACGTGCTACATGAACTCCTTGCTGCAACAGGTGAGAGTGTGCTTTGTGTGTTCATTAGCATCGGCCGCGCTAAGCGGCTGACCAATGAAAATATGCCAGTCTCCAACACGTTTGTGTATGTGTTACGTGGTTTTGTTTCTAGCGTCGACCGCGCTAACCGGCTGACCAATGAAAAGACGTCAGTGCCAGTGGGTAGTATCAAGGGCTATGGGAGTGTGTGTGTTTTGGACTCTAGCGTGGACGGCGCTAGGCGACTGACCAATGAAATAAAACTCGGGGTTCGGGCGTCTCCGGGGTGTAGGTTTGGAGTAATTTCAGGAGGAACAGCAGTCGCTCGGACCTACGGCTATTTGTGGCCAGCCGGCCTTTTTTTTTTCTGCTTTTGCGGTTCACAGAGTTAGCAGCAAGCAATGTAGTTTGTTTGTTTGTTTGTTTGTTTGTCTTTCTGCGGTAGTGACGGCAACCTCCCCCTCCCCCCCTCCACATCATCATCCTTCCCCTCATCCTCCTCATCGTCCTCATCCTTCGCCTTCTTCGCTCAGCTGTTCATGGTCCCGGCTTTGCGCAAGGGCATCCTGGAGGCGAAGCTACCCCGCCGCAACCTCCAAGACTTTCCCCGCGAGCTCGTGGGGAGGCGGGTGGCCGTGCAGTGGGAGACCGGGGGCTCGGTCGAAGCCTACGTGCACTCATACAACGAGCGCTCAGGTGCGTGTCGTCGAAGCCTACGGCTATGTAACGACTGTATTCAGATTTTTGTAACTTTTTTTGTTTTTGGTTCATCGAGGTTGGCTGGGCTTTTCGACGTCAACAACACGTCAGCTGTGTGAGCTGTTCGAGCTTGGGGCAACGTCACTGATGGCAGCTGGCAGCTGATTTGACACCAACACATGGTTCACACTTTCATCTTGCATGACGCCTTGATAACACTACTGCTCATATGAGCCCACTCCGGAGGCACGCCTTGTATGCTACTCGTATGTGTTTATTCGTCTGGTTGTCTTAGGTTGCCTTCGTTGATCGCGGTCGTGTGTGGTGTGTTATCGCTGGGGACTTGGTGTGTGTGTTGTGCGTTGTGCGTTGTGTGTGTGTTGTCTCCCCGACAAATGGGGGAGGGTGTCGTCGGTAAAAGTCGGTCCTGCTGTACCGCAAATCTATCCAAGCTCTCTGTACCGGGGGCACAAGAACGCCTTGATCGACTCAACAGCGCACAACCCACCCATCCACGTGCTGCTTTTTTGCGACATAGCCTCACCGCCGTCCATGCACGCGCAATGTTTTGTTGCACCACGCCGTCCGTCTATATACACCCCCGAAAATGTCAGGGGAGCACGTCATCAGGTACGACGCGAAGGACGAGGTGACCTTCCGCCTGGGTCCGGGGGGCGGCCGCCCCGGCAAGGAGACCGGCGCCGTGAGCCTCGTGTGGGGGGACTCGCCGTCGTCGCGGGGCGGGGAAGGGATGGGCAAGACGATGACGCCCGACGAGGCGACCGCTCAGGTGCTGGAGCAGGTGCAGCGGACGTTCCTCCACCTGAGGGACGGGGAGAGGAGGTTCTTCGACCCGATCAGGCTGGTGGAGGCGTGCCGGTGCCTCAACCTCGAGTACCTGGTGCACCAGCAGAACGACGCGAGCGAGTTCTGCGACAAGCTCCTGGACCGCGTAGAGTCTGGGATGAAGGCCGGCCAAGCCGCGGTGGCAGAGGCGGCCGGCGGTGGCGGTGGAGGGGTCCCCGCCGGGGGCGGGGGCGGCGGGGCCGGCGGGGCCGGGAAGCGGAGCGTTGCGGCGCTGGAGAGGCTGTTCGGGGGCACGTGGGTGCACCAGAAGATTCCGACCGGGTGCTCGCACAGGACCAACAGGTCGGAGCCGTTCATCAACCTGGAGGTGAACATCAGGGGCAAGGAGTCGCTGGAGGAGAGCCTGGCGAGCTTCCTTGAGTCGGAGCTCATGGCCGGGGACAACAAGGTGCGCCACGGCAGGGGCGGGGGGNNCCGGGGGGGGGGGGGGGGGGGGGGGGGGGGCAGGGCTGTTTTTTGTGCGCGTGCGTGTATCTCTACATTTGTGCTTGGACACCGTGTGGTGTGCGCATGTCTTCGATCCGGCAGGCGTCTGTTGCTTCACCTTGTTGTTGATGTAAAGTTCTTTCCAACCACAGCAAGTGGGGTGACGGGGCGTGGGCAGGCCCCGTGGCAGCTGTCGGCATCAATCCGTCAACTCAAGCATCTTCAATCAACAATTCCGCCTCATTAAACTCGTTTAAACTCGTTGAATGAGCTCATTTAATTGAATGGATTTTTATTTTTTCAATAATATAGGTGGACTGCGAGGACTGCGGGGAAAAGAAAGACGCAAGGATGAGGACCTGCCTGGAGCACCTGCCAAACCTGCTCATCGTCCACCTCAAGCGATTCGAGCTGGACTACCGTACCTTCGAAACGGTCAAGCTCAACGACCGATGCTCCTTCCCCATGCTGCTGGATTTGAAGCCCTACACCATGAAGGGCACGGACGAGAGGCGAGTGCTTACCCTTACCGTACTGATGTTGCACCGCCCCGCACTTGAGGGTGGTTTTTTGTGTTCGATATGGAATGAGTCTTGCTTGTTAAGGGGGGAGGACGAGATGCTGTTGTTGCCTTCACGCTGAGAAACGTTCCGACATCCTCTTGGCCTACCCCCTATCGAACGGCGAAGAACTGAACTCCCGAGTGGCTTTTTTTTGGGCCAACTTGTTGTCGCCTCTCCATCAGCCTGTCGTCGCAAAAGGCTGTGCTGTCTCTCTTCTCCCCCCCCGCCCGCCCTTCTCTCTAGACTTGTTTCTATTTGGTTTTCTTGTGATCGTTGACCTTCAACAGCCGATCAGCCACCCTTTCATTACGAAACACAAACAAACAACAAACAGGGAGGCCATGGAAGAAGCATTGCAGGCGGCCGCCGAGGCCTCCGGCGGCGACCTGACGCTCGAGCAGGTGACCAAGCTGCACGAGGAGCAGTCGGCCAAGATGAAGGAAGACGCCGGCGACTACCTCTACAACCTGGCGGGCATCCTGGTCCACGCCGGGGTGGCCCAGGGCGGCCACTACTACTCGTACATCCGCGACAGGGGCAAGAGCGCCTACGAAGACGGGGCGGGGCCGGGGGCAAGAGCCGGGGCTGCCGACGACAAGACTCGAGGAGACGCAGGAGATGGTGGTCGGAAGAGGGCGGCGGGAGCCGAAGGAGGGGCTACCAGCAATGGCGGTGGTGGCGGCGGCGGCGGGAAGGGAGTTGAGGGAGGCGCGGCGGGGGTCAGGGGGTCAGAGAGTGCTGCTGGGGGACAGGTGATTGGTGGGAAATCCCGCGGAATCGGACCGGGGGGGCGCGGGGTCCCGTCGTTGGGCAAAGAGGGTTGGTTGGGTACGGGTCTATTTTGAAGTGCATCAAAATGGTTCGGTCTGTATCTCGGCGGACCATGTCGATGGTCGCGGCCGTCAACATTGGGACGGGGCGTTCGTGAGGCACAGCGAAGGGCAAGAAAAGACGGATATCGTTTTGCAATAACCCCCCCCCCCCCCCCCCCCGCCCCCTGCGCGCGCGGTTGTTTTCCGTGGCTCATGCAAGGAAAACACATCGGATGATGCGCGCAATTGCAAGGTCCATCCCTCCCACATGTGTGCCTATATACATCCCGATGTTATGTTTGCATAGAGGACCTGCTTTACGTATTCGTGAGGTATTGAAAGCAGCAAGAGAAGGGAGATGGTTAAGGTTGCAAATCGCTCTGAGCTCCTGGAAAAGGGAAATGTCCCCTTTTTGTTCGCGACGTCGCGAGGCTCTCGCGGTTGCTCGCCTATGCGTTGAGCGGGTGTAGGTTGTATCAACATGCTTTGAGGCAGGCTGCTCCACTTTTATGATGGTGCTGGTGCTTCGGTTGGCAGGACCCGGGGGCAAGCTCACGTGGAGTGCACGATCCCCTTTCGTGGGGGCGCTCCCTTCCCTTTCCTTCCCTTCCCTTCCTTTTTTTTTGTTCCTTCTGTCGAGAGAGAGAGAGAGAGAGAGAGCGGGATGAGCAAGGCAATCAACCAGCAGCTAACCGAGTCCCCCCTCCCCGCCCTTTTTTTTTGTCGTCAAATCGTGTTGGCGACGGATGGGTGCGGCAGGGGGCGTGGTACAAGTTTGAGGATGACGACGTGACTCCCTTCGACCCGCAAGAAATCGAGGCCTGTTGCTTCGGCGGAACGACCCTGTCCACTTCGGTGAGCAACAAAATATACCGCTGCCTCCTGTGTACCTATAGGGGGGGAGGGTAAAGTAATGCGATGCGTCGCAGACGTGGATGGTATTGGTTCGGCGGTGTATATTGCTGTGGTGGTGGCGCCTGTCTTCCCTTCATAAAAATGGCTCGTGTGTGAACCGATATTTCGACGGCGCGGTATGGTGGGTGTTTTACGGACACGGCTTGGGTACGGCTAAGGTCGGATGGCAGGGTGTGCTTTTTTGAAGTTGGGTGAAACCAACCGGCACACTTTCACACGTTATGGTGTGGTCTAGTTTGGCATGACCCGGGATCGTCTCGCATGGAGCGGGAGGTCGATAAAGCAGCGGTGGCGTGGAAAACCTCCCGCGTGATTCCGTACCTTACCGTGTGCCGACCCACATTAATATTTGCGGGAATCGCTCCTCGCGCGAGCACCCGATAATGGCAATAGCACTAATCACCAGACGAACCAACACGCACGATGTATTACGGCCAAAAGACCTGGCAAGGGGTCAACACGACGGTGGAGCACGAGAGGACGGCGAACGCGCTCCTTCTCTTCTACGAGAAGGTGCAGCCCAAGGGCTGCCGACCCCCGGAGGGCGATGCCGCCGGTGCCGTTGGCGGCGGCAGGATGAGCAACGGGGATCACGACGGCGATCAGGAGATGGGGGACTCGGTTGAGGCTGCCGCTGCTCAGGCCGACGAGAGCGCCGGGGGCGGGGATGAGAACGCTGCTCCGCCGCCGCCGCCGCCGCCGCCGCAGGGGTGCCCGTCTGGGAGCGCCGGGGACAAGGGCACCGCCGGAGACGGCGGCGGCGACGCCGGAGCGAAGGAACGGGGAAGCCTCGTACCGCTAGCGGCGGCTGCGGACAACATGTCTCCGGTGACGACGGAGTCGGACCCCGACGGGCCGCCGCCGGTCGGGAAGGGCGGGGGGTCCGCGGAATCGAAGCTGGAGGTGGTCGGGTTCGGTGTGAAGAAGGCGGGGGCGGGGGCGGTGCCCCTGCTGGACGGGGTCGAGGCCTACGCGGAGGAGGTGTGGGAGGCGAACGTGCAGTACATGCTGAACAGCTACGTCTTCGACACGGAGTTCCACCACTTCTTGAGGCGAGTGTGTGACGGGGGGGGGGGGAGGGGGGGAGAAGGCAATAGCCTTCGCGGGGATAAGCTTGGTTTTGGTAGGGTTTACGGTGTAGGTTGGGGGTGAGGGTTATGGTTTCGAACCCCACCTCCGCATTTCATAGATTGAACTATAAAATCCTGGCGAAGGGGGTCCAGAGAGAGAGGGGGTGGTCGCCTACTTTTTTCGGTCGTTGTATATCACGGTAGGGCGCGCGCGCGCAGGGCGGGGCGGGGGGGGGGGGGGGGGGGGAAGAAAAAAAATTTGAAATCACGGATGTAGGAATAGCTCCCTCTCCGGTGCAACGGTCAAAATGTACTCAATAAAAGCGCCTTTCTCTAAGGTGTGTGGATGGATGTGGATTTTTTCCCGATGGGGCCGGAAAAAAAAAAACCTCTGCA